AGTGAGAACAGTACCGCTGCTTCCACCCTGCTGCACCTGGTCTTATTTCAGGCCTTTACGTGCCTGACAAGAGTGCATGGAGGTCTGTGTTTGGCCAACAGGTAAAATCACATTTATACCTTAATACCTTTCTAAGGGAAGGGCAACACAACCAAACTCACTCACAATGTATAGCACCAATGACTGGATCACATCCATAATCCTATAGCTTTCTCATCTCACCTAGATAGACATCCTAGATTGCCAAGTGCCATGCAATCATAGTTCAGGAAAAGACTGGGTTCACATCGTGCAGCAAGAATACAAGCAGTAGGGACCTCAATCCTCAAACAAGAGCTGGCAAAACGAAAGACAGAAATTTCACCCTGGATCCTGTTACGTGGCTCCAGGGAAGCTGGTCTGCACGCGTCACTTGTGCACACTGCGTACAACAGACTAAAACACATCAAAGAACAATACCTTTGGTCAGCTGTGTAACTTTGTCAGGTCAATTATTTGCACAGCATTGGGGACTCTGCATCGTTACACACTCACAAACAAAATAAAGGAGTTTATACAAGTGTCCTCAGACAATACAAACAACTCCAACCTCACATACACTCCTTCCTACCTGTGTGCATGGCAAAATTATCACCCAGGACAGTTCAAAAGACTTCTCAGATCTTCAGATAACTTCACTTGTCTATCTTGTCTGCCAAACTAAGTAGGTGAAGCAAGGAGAAAACATTATGCATTCACAAGACATAGCCACAGAAGTTACTCATACCACAGCCTACAGAATTTGACCTCTGGAATGAGTGCAACAGAGTGGTTAGACAAGTTTAACATAATTGCCAGACAAAGCTTCTTAATGGAAAAATAAGGATAATGAGCATTTCCTCATGAAACCCATGCAAACCTGCCTGGCAATAGGACAGGGCTCATCTTTCATTTGCAGTAATTCATTCAAATCTCCAGTCAAAACAGACAGGTAAACAATACGAGAATTGCCCCCCCGGTATGTTAAGAGCAGCTAAATCTTGACTGCATAGAGAACAAGTTTCCCTTTGGGTATTTTTTGTTTCCCCCTTTCTAGGGAATGTTCCACAGGATAAGGTTTGAAATATGTCAGCAGGGACACACATGGCACTACTTGCTCCTTGCATCCATTCCAGAAAGACTGCGGCCTGGGGTGCCATGCCAGAACCCAGAAACAACACTAGACTTAAAACCAGAGGGTTTTCTTCTTTTTGTGATATAACACATTAGTTCTGTAGATATTATTTGTGTCATATTAAAATAGTCGAAGAGGTGACATATGAAGATCTGAATCAGTTTTATTAGACAGTATTGCACTGTACCTGTCATTAACTGATGAGCTGAAATATATTTCAGGGAAGACCACTGGTAGGACTGTATATATCATTTTCTTAAGAAGGTGCCATTAGCTCCTCTCAACCAAGCTGCTGAGTAGAAGAACACTCATCCATTCCCTGTTCAGCTTTTCATTATCAACCTGAACGGGCCCACACAGCAACAATGGCCTAAAATACTTACAGGATCTTTTCCCTCACCAAGATTACAGTATTAACTAACACAATGTTTCCTCAACTCATTTTTTAATTAACAAGAAGTTCTAGATAAAATAAACTAGCTACCATCTGTTCCTCAATTACCTTTCCTTCATCCAGATCTTGCCAATAGTTTCTATCACCAATTTTATGCAGCACATTTCATATGACAACTTCAGGGATTTCTGAGGCTCTTTTCACTTTGATGTTAGGAGTGAGGCAAAGACAGATCCACAGGGGAAAAACCCCTGCATTTGAATTAATGAGATCAGCCTGGAGAACCTCAGAAAAGCTGTGAGACTCACCAACTTCTGCTTAAGGTAGACCATAAGCCTTCCCCAATTTCATACCTCACTGACACAGCTCAACAACACCCATGCTGCTTTCAGGCCAAGCTGAATGTGACAGGACTGCTGTGCTGCAGAGGCTCTCAGTGACACATTCCTCCTCACAGAGGTGCCAGAGTTGCTAGTCAGTAAAATAGCTTCATTACACGCTTATTAATTCCTGGTTAGCTCAAGATAACTAGCCCAGCACCAACAGAAAGAGCAGAATTGTCTCCCTACCCAGCTAACATAGCTGAATCAACAGAATTCAAAGAACAGCCTTCATTAAACTACCTGTTAATTGACTCTCTACGGCAGTGTCTTCCCCCAGCAAGCTACTTCTCAGCCAGGCAAGACAGGTCAAGTAATGGATCCTGCCCATGGACAGGGAATGAGAATATACACACACAGTTTCCAGATGCAATTTTTATCTTTAGTTTTTCTGCTGGCCTTGGAATACAGAGCTCAACTGCCCAATGAGGACATCTAATGGAGAGACAAAGAACCAAATATAAAACAGGTTACAGGCAAATACACAGATGTCCCCCAACGCTAAGAACCAACATGAGCTTCATAGGCACAAAATTACATTAACCGAAAGTGTGTATGCAGTTATCACTTCTACCCCCAGGCTTAAAGGCTTACCTTCCCTCCTCTATTTCCCCAGCACTTTTAGCATTACACAGCTTACATCTCATGAAACTTAGTCACCATCTTTGTACACTTTTTGCTGCAGCTGAGAGGGTTAATAGACATTCTGGACTCTACTGCGCAGGAGTGGTTCCAGCACTTCCCACTGTAGGAGCATACCCTAGGTTCTCGGAGACAAGAAGGCTGAACCAGAGGATGCTCATTCTACACAAAAATTAGATAAGTGGGTGTTTGCTGACTTGTTATTGCTCTGTAACGAAAAAATATAACACATAATTTAAGAAGGGCAAAAAATTACACCTGCAGGATATAGCTACCCCATATGCAGGGCTTCTTTTAAGGGGAAAGATTTCATAGAGCTCCCCACAAGTCTACCCAACATGTTTAACAGGAAAGGAGATGAAGTTTTATTCAAGCAAATTGCCATGAGTATTTAGTAACAGATGGCTTAGTGCTTCCAGCTTCCTTACCTCACTACTCTACAGTTATCTCAATTTCAGTTAGAAGGGAAGCAGAATCCCCTGTCACGCTTGTTCTTGAGAAAGGCTTGGTAACAGAAGCAGAAGACTGAGAAAACAAGAGGCCCTATGAGCTTCTCAGCAAACTCTGCCAAAATGATTTCACTAAAGGTTTCACCTTATAGGACTTTCTCTGGAATTAAGCTCACAGATGGAACTACACAGCAAACAGCACCTGTTTGCACTGGTGACCAGGTAGGCAACTGTCCCTGCACAGGTGCTACAGCCACCGAAGAGGCAGCAGCAGCCACCATGGGCGACAGGCAAAGTGACCCAGAGATTTACTCACAGGACTCCAGCTGTTAGACAGCAGCGCACCCAGCTCCTGCATGCCGGGGTGGACTGAATTACACGCCACAGGGCATTTTTAAATTATACAACTTCCACAGGAAAGATCACATCTACAGATCCCACCATGCCTCATTGTCCAAACACGTGCCAAGCGTCTGATCAGTAATAAGGTTATTTGCCCCCATTATTTCTGACACAGTGACTCGGGCCAGAGAACAAGCTACACAGTGGAGATGATATCAGCACATTCAGATATTTCAAAGGCAAGATAATGCAAGACTTACTCAAGTGCCATTTTAAAGCTAAATTTGTCAGCTCCTTCTCACCTCTCTGCCCTTTAATAGGGGACTAGAGGATATCTGATTTAAACTAACAGCAGGTAAGCCCAGGCCCAAGAAAGAAGTAGTTACCGTGTAATCAGCTTGAGATTCTCATTACGGTAGGCTATAAAAAAAAAAAAAAAAAAAAAAAAACAAACTGGGGCAAGGATTTAGAAGCAGATGAATAATTTCATGACCACCACTACTTATTTGCTATGCAACTACAGCAACAAGAAAGGCAGACACTGTTCCAGCCTGAGTATAATCAGCTTATCTGCAGGAAGAAGGAAAGAATTCCCTTTCCTCAGGCGCTCCCATGTACAAAGCCTCCTCAGTCAGTTACATCTGCATCCAACCTGGAAACTTTGCTTTCCTAAAGCACAAAGCATTCATTTCCAAGAAACAGCAGGACTGGACCTTTTCTCTGACAAATCCACAAACCACTTGACAGAGAGGATGTCAAACTGAAACCCTATCCAAAACACCAATGGAGCTGAATCGTCCCTACAAGCCAGTGGAGACACTTTCACACAAAGCACAGGTCACTCCTGGTGCAAGTTCAATTTGGCTCATTCTGCTTCCTGTAACACGTCTGATGTATTAAAAAAAAAAATCCTTCCAAAAAAGAACCACCTTCTTAAAAAACAACACAGCAGAGTCCAAAATTTTCAGTGATCAGTGTGCCCCCAACCGCCTCACCCTAGATTCACGTCAATGGGAGCCACTTTCAAAACTTACCAAAGGCAAGGGAACAGCATGGGTTTGACCAAACACTCGCAACTAAGGTATATGCCCAAACCACTGACATGGACCTTTGACTTTTTTTGCCCTGTATGGCAACATCAGGAAAATGACCATTAATCCTCCCAACTTAACTGCCTCAACAAGACACAGCACTCAAGAAAGCAGTTGTCACTACTTGTGCTGAATTTTCCATGCCCACCCTGGGCAGAGTCTCCATGTGCAGCATGCGTGTGGCACGGGTCACAAACGACAGTTTAGCACATCCTGTGTTCTCACCCTTCTGCAGTGTCCGAGAAACACCAGGAGCACAGTTCACCCCAAAGATCTGCTACCAGAGCCCCTCCTTTTGTCCGTCTGTTCTACCATCCTCCTTTCCCATTGAGAGGTCTGGTGTTTGTCCTTACAACCTTCAGACGCCCTCAGAACCTATCTGCAGCATGACAATGGCAGCTAGAATAGACATCAACGAAACATCTCTATTTTTATCTACATAAACAGCACACGAGAAAAGGTTTTTAACTCTGAAAATACTGAAAAACTCAGACAAGATGGGAAAGGTTTAAGAAAAAATAGAGGAGGAAGGCCAAGCATATATCTTACCTCCTGAGCGAATCCTCCTCTGAGCTTTCCTCAGGCATTTCCTGGTTTAAGGCCTCCTGTGATACATTCCCAGGTCTGCTTGAAGCCGACTGGCTGTAAAATCTTTCCCAGTGCCCCGGCTCCTGGTTAAAGACCACTCCCACGGTCCTCTCCTCCTGCGGGGTGGAAGAGCTGCCCAGCTGCAGCCTGCTAGAGGCAGGAGCTCTGCCCTCGGTTCTCTCTGCAGGCTGCACCTGGCTGGTATTTGGAGGCACACCCTCAAATGTGCTTTGGACCTGCCCTGGTGTGTAGCTAGGCGTGCTTCTTTCCCAGCGCAGCGTGTCATTGTTAAAGGTCAGCAGGTTATGACAAGCGCGACA